TGTTAACATGCAAATGGAGTTTATCCTACCTAGACATAAGTACTACCAAGTAGCAAATAAAAGCTAATACTTTTTTTCTCTGCCTAACAGATCATATTGTCAAATATTAAGGTTGTGGAGATGTGCTCCTCTAAACTAAAAATAGAAAATATTGAGGCTAAACCTGGAGGGTCTTCATAGTAAATAGAAAACATTTTCTAGCTTTTTAGCAAACACCTCATTTAAGAAACATATTTTTAAGTACACCATCTGGACAATTTGAAACAGAACCGTTAGAAAACATGAACCTTTTTGATTTGTGCAATGAACATAAAAACAAAACAGAAAAGAAAAATGTACTTTGTAATCTAACAGAAAATGTCCTCTTGTTATTTAAAAGCTGAAATTTTTATACAACAATTAACAGAAAGACCTATAGACCCTTCAGAGGTTGAAATTCCAAGTGGGAAAAATAGGGGTTAACGAACCCTGAACTCAAAATCCAATATGGCTGTTGTGCACAGAAAACGGTAAAAACTGTTTATTTGCACTGTTGATGGTCAGGAATTCATTTATTTTTTCATATAGTCCTTCAGTGAACATGGTGCTGTTGTGCTCGAAAATCTAAAATGCATTATTTTCTTGTAACAAGTTGTTTTCTTGTTCACTGACGTTCAAACTTGTAACTGGAAAACAACTAACTTTGACTTAAAGTGTCTGAAAATTCAAGTTTTGAATTCTGAGTAATAGAACCCTGGAACTGAAGGATGAGGACGAGTTTGAGATTTCTTTTGTTTATCAGAGACAGTAGTGCTGTGTAGTTTCCCTGTGGAACTCAAAATGAATAGATTTCCCTGTTTGTTTGGTTTTCCAGGAAAGAAATGTACTTATGGGATAAAGTGCAAGTTCTACCATCCAGAGAGGGTGAACCAGTCACAGCTGGCTGTAGCAGATGAACTGAGGGCTCTGGCACATCAACCTGAACACAGATACACTCCACCCACCCCTCCCTACGGAAGCAGAGACGACCTGACTCACAGCGACCCCTCCATCTGTTACAGGGAGAGCAATAACCTAAGAAGCCAGCAAAACAAGAGTCCTCTTTTTTACCAGTACTCAAGCTCCGATGCAGACGAGGCCTTTAGCTCCATGGGTAGCTCCATGTCCAGGCTCAGCATCCAGGACATACCCTACAGCCTGGAGCCCCCTCTGACCAGCTACAGCAGCGGCAGAGGCAGTTACCAAATGTCCAGCTCGTACTCCGGGAACAGCCTGAGGCTTTCACCCAATGGACACAGTTACTACCCTCCCCAAAATGGCTCTATGCCCTGTGAGAGTCACATGTACAGTCAGTGCAGGTGTGGCCACCAGAACCCGGCCAACCATCACCACCACCACCACCACCAGCAGCAGCACCAGCCGGTGTGGAGTTCCTGCCCCGCTGTGCCTGCACACAGGGGGGAACAGACTTCTCATTTCTCAGACATACAGTACCAGCATAGCCACAGCCTGTCCCGGGACCCCTGGGGGCAGCAGCCCAGCACCCCCATCAACCAGAGCAGAAGCGTGTCCAGTGAGCAGAGGAACGACCTGCGAAGCCAGCTGAGCACGCTCTTCCCTCAGAGCATGGTGGAGCAGGTCCTGAACGCCAACCCCCATGTCTCAGACATGCTAGAACTGATCGGACTCATCCAAAACTACAGGACCAGCAACATGTCCTTCTAGACTGCCAAACCTCTGTTGGTGCCTTCAAACCGAGCCCACACTGGAGTTCTCATCCCGGAAATAGTGAAACCAAAGTGAACATTTCCTTAAGAGAATTTTTATTTGTTATGAAATGTGTCAAATGCATTATTTTAAGCATTAAGAAGGAAGTTGGTCTGATAAAACTACAATGTTGGCTATTCCTTTATCCTATTACAGAAGTGCAATGCACTTAGCTCCATTCCAGCTACTTATTGTAGCGTTGACAAATGTTTATTAAAGCAACATGTGTTGTTTTTTCATGTTGCCTCAAAATGAGGAACACTATAGACTGTACTTTTGTAAAGACTGTCCCGATATTAACTGTGAAACATTGTGGTTTTGTTGCACATTTTGAATAAAAACTTTGTAAAGAAGTCGGGGTTTGATTTTTATGTTGAGTATGCCAATTAGTTTATGACGAAGAGTGGCGCCTCCTGGTGGCCACAGCGGCATAGCCCTTTAAAAGGGGCAGTAGAATGTAAAGTTGACTTAATTAAGCTTTACATCATGTTATAACATCATTCTTTCATCAAATAAATAGCTAGGGGGTTGCTTTGATTCTTTCATACATGTTTGAGAAATCCTTTTATCTCCATGGCAACCACTGAGTCGTGCAAAACGCCTGGGTGGATCCAGCACCATGTTGCAATTTCCAAACTTCTGCCTCACAGAGCAGCACCCCCCTCAGCTCCTTCAGACTAGCAAGCAGCAATTAGCAAACACCTGGTGGAACTGTATGTCTGCTGAGCTCACTGTAGGAGCTATTTCTCAGAGCAACGCTGGTTAAAACATTACTGTAGGGTCAATAGAGGAGTGTTGTGATGACTTCTTGAAGCCAGAGTTTCAGAAAGAGCAGGAGTTTTTAAAGAGACAGAGGCCTAATTTTAATCCTAAATTGCAAAGTAACATTTCTTTTAAGCTATATTTGATATATACAGTATTTTTTAAATAACTGAAATTAACAGTTCTTTGTGCGTTAAAATGGCACTGTGTGGCTAGCAAACACATAATACTGCCCCTTTAAAAGATTAAGTGTTCCAATAAACCCATAAGACAACACTGCATAAGGACTTTAAATTGCTGTTTAGTTGTTCTTGTGACTTCAGGTTTCTCATCTAAGTTACTCAACATGTGGTAAAGTGCCCATCAGCATGTACAGGAGTCGGTGAAGACTTTCCCACTGAGTCACAGTTGCACAACAGGAAATCTTAACGTGATACAGAATGACATTTCATTAATTCACTCCAGAGAATCTCATACAGATACGCAATATATAAATTGATATATTTCTAATTACATTTCATGTAATTAATTTACATTAATTACTTAATTATTACATTACATTAATTAATTTACATTTTCATTTTATGTAATATTACTCAGAATATTACATAAAAACATATTTATGCAGAATTGCTGTGGCCCACACTGCCATCACTTCTGCCAAGGGAACAAGCCAACAAAGATCACTGCTAAAAAAGCCAATTGTTCTAATGTTGCATCTTTCTGCCGACAAGCTTTATGAATCTGAATTCCTTTTCATGTCATTGTGTACGAAAGACACACAACGAAACTGTGAAAGCTGCTGCTGTCATTTTATGCATCTGTTTTATATATTTATTTTGGTAACACTTTATTTGAAGGGGGTTGAATAAGACTGACATGACACCGTCATAAACATAAATAAGCCTTCATGAATATTTATGACTGTTGTCATAAAGCGTCATTCGGTAAATTATGACACTTTTAATACAAAGTTGACATTATTCAAAATGTCTTTGTTATGACAACTTGACATTAACCAGGAAATCATTACTGTTTAAACTTTACCTTTAATAACATAAAGATACCTAATTTTTAAAGTGCAATCAGTAATTATTTTATAGCAAATTTATATCAGTAATGATTTCTTGGTTAATGTCAAGTTGTCATAAAGACATTTTGAATAATGCCAACTTTGTATTAAAAGTGTCATAATTTACCGAATGACATTTTATGACAATAGTCATAAATATTCATGAAGGCTTATTCATGTTCATGACATGTGTTATGTCATGTTTATGACAGTGTCATGTCAGTCTTATTCAACCTTCTTCAAATAAAGTGTTACCTTTATTTTAAATTTAGTTACTTAAATCACTGAAAAAAAATTCTTATATACATTTTATATTGCTTATGGTTATATTTGTGTTTACCAATATTTAACACTTTGGATGGAGTAGCTGTCAGCACATGAGCAAAGTCCCTTGGGGATCAACACAGCATTTTCTATCTTAATAAAGAACCAGAGGAGGATGAAGGCTTACTGCTACAATACTTAGAAACAGGAAGAGATCATAATAATGACATTGCTGGAGTAGGGATGGGCTCTAATAAGTTTATACATCTACCCACTCCTTTGTCATTTTAGTATTACTGTTATTCTTATTTCTACTGTATGACAGTCAATAAACACTGAAATACAAATGTTAATTAAATTAATTCCATCTATTCCTTTTTATTTTTCAAATTGGACTTATACAATTTTCTAATTTCCTGAAAAACAGCTTTTGGTTTTCATTAGCCGGAACCACAGTCAAAAAGTGACTTCAATTACTCAACAGTAACTGAGCTCTACTGCCATCTAGTGGGAAGAGCATTCTGAAGGCACACCAACAACATTCAGAATAGATTTTTTTTTATTTTTACAAATAACTTATCTGTTACAAAGACAGTTTTCCCAGCTTAAAAAAAAAAAAAACCTTTAGATATCCAAAAAATGACTTTTTCCTCCATTTAATAAAACATGAATGAACTGCCTCTTCACACCAAGGTGCAGGTAACGCTGAAAACTGGATTCTTTGGGTTGGAAAAAGGAAGAACAAAGATGTAAGTGCTAAAGAGACAATAAATCATCTTCTACTTCTAAATGGGATTACATAATACTAAGAATTTGGTTTAAAAAAATGGCACTTGAAATTTGACTGAGGAGATTGTCAATATAAATTCATAAGGCACTAATGCAAGGCATCAGCTCACAAATAAGGAAAAACTCAAAAGTAACTAGTTCAAGGTTACGATATCTTAAATCACATTGAGTAAACTTTAGACGCTCCCTCTTAGATAAAAAGGTTAAGAGGATAAAATGAGCCAATAAAAATAAGGGAATACACAGTGGACAATCATGTGCTTACATTGTGTGTGGGAGTGTGTATCTGTGTGTGTGGGGGGTTCTGTCTGTGTAACAATTCTAACCTGTGTATAAGGCACAAGGGCCACAGAGGGGTCATTGAAACAGAGGAAAGACGTTTTAATTCATCACCAGTTGGTTGAAACCAGAAGCTCCACTCAGACTCACGTCTGCTTGGAAACTTCAGATGTTTTCCAGGAGCTCCTCCAAATCAATCCTGGTGCGTTACAAAATGAGTCTCTTCGCACTGAGGTGTAGTTTATCCCCAAACATCAATCCTACATTCCAGTTGTCAGATAGGATGGCAGTTTGTCATTTTTTCCTTTTTTTTTTTTTTTTTTAAACCCAGCTCTTCTTCCCCAACCCCACAAAATCTCCAATATGTCCTGAAGAACATAAACAAAAATAAAAACAAGAACTCCTCCTCCGTCGCCTTACGTCAACAGATCGTACACGGGAAACTCAGCAAATACACGAGCAACGAACGGACCAACCGACACGTGTAGCTTCGTGATGACTGTGAGGGTTTTGACCGGCTCTGCTCGTCTCCTTCTGCAAAGCTTCTGCTCCCACACAAATCAAGTAAAAAGCTTAAAAATGGAGCATGGTGCTTGTCTGTTTAAGGAAAACAAAAATAAAATAGTTGATAAAGTCTATAAAGCTATAATTACAGGAAATACACATGATTCATAGTGTGAGGAGAAAAGGTTTAAAAGCACAATCTAAAAATTATGTACAGCAAGGAGCTCGAGGAGAGCTTCTGCTTCAATGTACTGTACATAAAGCATGCAACTTGTTTTTCATTGAGTCGTGACTACGTAGACAGAAAGGGGGTGCTGGAGAGACATTAATAAGCATGGAAACATGGCAGCAACGGGAAACGAACGTTCAAGTCCACAAGAGGATTACCTTCGGCGGCTGAGCTCAGTTCCATCACCAGGTCAGGCCGTCACGGAGGAAGAAACAACTCAGATATACGATCAGGAAAAGGCACATCGGCACCTGGAGTGTTTGTGCGAGCGTGTGCCGTCACTGCGGGGCCACGCTCATAATACTGTGAGTGGAAGCAGCGAAGCGTCGCCCAACGAGACACAGTCCCGGTCTCTAAGGCGAGGTATCATCCCACTGTTGGGAACCAACAGGAGCTGTATACGCTGTCCAGTCAGGCCTTCGGTGGACAGCTTTACACCTCCCTCAGAGAACAGGAAAGACGATTAATAGCTAGGAAGAAGAGGCTGCTCTGCTTTCACTACCGCAGCCCGCTGTCCGTTTTTCTCTTTCGCCGCACAAAAGCAAAAGGAAAACTCAAAAAGTCTGGTCTACTGTAGCCTGCGAGACGTCAGGGTGTGCGGAGGCAGGGCACGGTGCGGCGCCCCGTTGGCTCAGAAGTGCCGCGGGAAGTCACACTGTTCACAGCGGTTGAGGGCGGGATGGTTGAGGAAGGTGCAGGCTGTGCAGTTCCAATGGTTGCCCTCATCCTCCTCTGGATCTGTGCTGGGCTTCACAATCTTACTTCCTGTGTCTGAGACCAAAGGGAAAGGAAAGGAGGTCAACACAACACCGCTGAAAATCCAATAGTGAATTTGAGCCAAACTGCCACTTGAGTACTTCTGGGTCGAACATATTTACAGACTAAGCTTTTTCTTTTGTATGTATATTTTTTACCGTTTTAGCTTAATTACCACTCCAAATATGTTTTTCAGCAAATTACCTATTTAAAGTCTGTGTACTCCAGTTAATAATTAGTCTATTACTAAATTAGTTAATATTCATTTCCATAATGTATTAATTATGAAATTCGTTTAATAGTTGAAGACCTAGTCTAGTTGGGGTCTCATTTTCCCAGAGCACTTCCTGCTACATGTCTACTGCAAACTAGACTTCTGCTTTTATTTTTGCTTCTATAAAAGTTCAGTTTTGGCAGTTTTGTTACAAACAGTGGTCCTGTCAACAGTTTTCAGAAAGCGGAATATGTGGAAAACTCAGGGTAAGTTCAAGGTAGATATGTGGATATCCTGAGTTTTTGGTTTCAGAAATCCAGGTAGGCATTATCCTGAGTCAGCTTACTCTGTGTACAAATCCTGAGTGTGTCTGACTGTTGTGCCGAGACGTGACAAGAGGAACGTGTCAGAAACGCCGTAGCAGACTTTGGAACACTAATCCTCAGCACAACTATCCACCAGGAGAGATAGATCGGACCACGACTGGATGTCTGTCATCTCTGGAGTAAGATGTTTTGACGTGATACTGCCATTTATCTCAGTAAAATTACACCATGATGTTTTTGTTGGAAATTAAACAATAGTGTCGATAATAAAACCGGAGTTCTCTGTCAAATCACACTCACGCATTGACTTGGTCTCTACCAAGAGACCAAGTCTTTATAGTAGCAATAGTATCATTTTTTTTTTCTTAAATATGTTTTGATATTCTCCTTATGCAGTTACTAGCATTTCTAATTCCTTCTGTGAGAAATGTGCACTTTGAGGCCTTTTATTTTCTCCCATTGCCATGGTGAATGGCAGTATCTGCCATCCATTGATGAAGGCTTCTCATCTATAATTGAGTTAATCAGTTGATGCTGACTGTTCTGAAACTGAAAATCTTATCACTCAGCTGAGTAGGTTTACTCAGAGTATCTGCCTTCTACTCAGGGTTTGTTATGCCGTTAGTCCGTATGTCTCCATCTTCAGAGGAAGGTTTTGTTCCAACTCAGCTGCTTTAATCTTCTTCTGTGCCGTCTTCTTGGTCTTTATGTTACTTTTTGTTCTCTAACTGTCACTTCCTAAGGAAAATGGTTGCACCAAACTTTATTTTTATTCAAACTTAAATAAAGGTAAAAAAATTTTTTTTAAATGAAATAAAAAAAAATGGGGGTATTAAAATACAGGGGTCTTAAATACAGCTCTCAGATTTTTATTAGTAAACGATGCTGAAAACTATGTACAATGTTCATTCTATTTCAGAGTCCTGAGCTTATTAGTTAGTCTATCACATAAGACGCCAATAACAAAACTTAAGGGGTATAAATTCTTCAGTAAAGCACTGTAAGCAAACAATGAATGATGAAACACAGATATTAGTAGGCCTGTCACAATAAGCAATAAAACAATTAATTGCATGATAAATTAAAACGAGCTCAATAATTTCTATTTGCATGATTTATTGTTTTTCCTCTTTTCTCTCCATCAAAAACTGGATGATAAAAGTCTTCAGTCTGGCGGTTTGGTCTCAGGTAGGATGCACCGATTTATTGGTGGCGATTTCCTTAATTTTGAGAGATTGGTGATTGACAGATACTTGCGTGTGAAGCCGATCTTATCCCCTGACCTCAGCCACCTTAGCCAACGTCTAAAAATCAACCGCTGTCCTCTTCTGCTCTGCCTTAGAGAGGTTTGACTAACCGGCTCACCAGGTCATGTCTGCATGTTTGTAGTTAACAATAGTCACCCCATTGTTTCCAACTCAGCGACTTGCAAAAATTTAGCAACATTTCAGGAAAACAAATTGGTATTGGCCAACATTGGAATCTGTAGATCACGTATTTTATAGATTGGTAATTGCCGATCGTCCAAAAAAAACTGCAATCAGTGCGGCCTTAGTCTCAACCAAGCCTTTTATGGACAATTTTGTTTACAGAGACATAATTCATTTTGTTTATTTTGTAAATTTAAAATGTCTTCCAGTTCCAGTGTTAAATGTTCATTAGAATTTAAAGTTTATTGATCTTTGAGAATGTGTTCTTGCATTATTACACCATCAGCATTATACGTTCTCAACACAGCAATATTACTGTTTATCGCAATAACTTCTCAGACAATTTTTCGTCCAGCAAAAATTGTTGTTATGACAGGCCTAGATATGAGCACACATAAATGTGACTTTTGCTAAAAAAAAAATTAAAAAAAAATCGAGGCAGTTCATGCAAACAGAAGCAGTTGTAGCAAGATTCCAGCAATGAAGAGAATGCATCCAGGAATGGCCTTACCGACAGATGTAGTACCTTTGGGTTTGGGTGGGACAGGACCAAGGAATCCAATGTTGTCATAAAAATTATGGATTACACTTGGATTTAAGTGTGGTCCTGCACACAGATGGAGACAGAATGGAAGCAACAACGTTGGCGTATCAGTCCCGTATCAAAACTTTAAAATCAGTTTTGATTTGCTTTGTATTGGAGGCTCTTTGTGTTCAAACAGACGTCATCAATAAAACATTTATGAGAGTGAGACTCAACATCCTTCCTTGACGTGTGGAAGCTGCTGGCCCTGCGGGGGCTCAGCCTGGGGGGCTGTAAATCTCTCGTTACCCAGCAGCAGCAGGATGCAATTCAGGAAGAGCTGGTAGCTAATAGTGCTGAGTGTAAAGAACACGCGATCCGGCTGCTGCTGCATTGCTTTCTCTAATAACTTAGTGTTTTATGAACAACAAACAGGCCAAAAACTCACTTTAAAGACAAAAATGTATGTTTATATTCATTGAGCAGAACATCTGGAGTATTATGCAGCAGACAGAAGTGGATACATACCATTTGTTTGAAGGAGATCAATTTCTTTGCTGAGGCAGTCGATGTCGATCTGCAGCGTTCTGTTTTTGCATCGCAGATTCTTCATTTCATCGATCTGTAGGAACACAGAGAAAGAATCTCAAACCTAAACCAATATTCTCAACGTCCTGGGCAAACTCCAACTACCCAGAGCTTTCCACAACTCCAACAACTCAGCTAAGATTTTATTCACTTAATCTAAAGAGAGCATAAAGTGATAAATATCGCTTGCGCTTAGATGTGTCGCACATGAACTGTGAAGTTCTTGTGTTACCTGATGTAAATTGTGTGGCCTATCAAGTCTGAGCATACAGTACTATTTTATATGGACCTAAACAGATGCTGTTATCACCATGGATACAGAAATGTCATATAAAAGCTGACCTACGTGGTTTCATCTGTTCTGACAGAGAAATTTGTTTGAGAATGTAAACTAGTATTTTATCTCTACTGTTTAAACAGCGTGTGGTGGAGGGTTGCATAACAGGAACACGATGATATTGGTAAACGTAAAGACAGAGATGTGACTTGTGATAAACCTAGTTGTTGCATCTCCAGTGTTCTGTTGGAGGGATAAACCGTGTGAAAATTTAGAGTCAGCCCCACGCTTTTCTACTTAGCTGAGAAAATGTCTGAATCACTTTTATTCAAACTTGAGGAGTTCAAGGTTGAACATATTTACAAAGCTTTTTCATTATTATTTTAAATCCTAAATATATATCCTTTGAATATCTGCACATTATAAAATATTAGAAGTTTATAACTTTTATGAATGATATTTCTAATAAAAGGAAGAGTTTTAAAGAAGGACTTCTACAAAATCCAACAATTGAATGGATGGACAGGAGTTAGGATACAAGGAACATGGACATGGAAGGAGGGAAACAATATATGTAGGAAGGAAGGAAGAAAAGAAAGCAAAGCAGAAAGGATATGAGGTAGGAAGAAGAGAAAGAAGGAATGGCAGAATATTATAACATTTATCCAGATAATACTGGAATAAAACTTCACACAAAGAAATCTGGCTCAGTGGCATCTAAACGTGAAGAGGTCAAACCAAAGCAAAGTAGTAAACAACATCTCTGTCATCTCACAGAAGGAATTTGGGAGGCAGAGTTGGATCTCTGCAGTCTTCTTCTGGTCAGGTCATTCTCCATTTCATTCACTTCCTCTTTTAGCTTCTCCAACTTCTTCTTCTTCATTTCCAACTCGTGCCACAGTCTCTCCATTCGAGCTTTCTGATGGACCAGCAGAGCTGAAAGCAGAGAGAAGGACAGCATGTTTTATCAGAGGCAGCAGCTGCAGCAAGTGTCCTGCTTTCTCCAACATGAAGAAACGAAACAGAAACATGTGGATAAAACCTCATTAAGAGTGGTTTGTTAAAAGAACTCTGTGGTAAGAAGCTGTCGGCCTTTGAACATGAACCATCGTAGTTAAATAGTTCTGCAGTGATTGTTCTAAAAACCACAGCTGTACCAGGATCTATTCAGGGTTCTTCTACATCTCCCAAATTTAAAAAGAATTGCTGTATCTGTTCATAGATACAGCATTCCCACAGAGTCTCCTTATGGGTGAGAAACCAGGTGTAAAAAGTGATGTGAATGTGGGGTTGTATTGAGTAGTTAGAATCAGTAAGCATCTTACCAGCAGTACAAAGCAGTCAGTCAAAATAAGAGCTCCATAACACTTTTGGCTTGGAGTGAATTTGGTCTTTAAAATGACTCAAAGTTAAGATCTTTGATCCAGTGGTAACAGTGTTTATGACTGTCTGAATTAAAGGGATAGACACGTCTGCACAGAGGTGACTCACTACAAACAGCAGGAAGGAAACTGTGGGAACTTCTGTTAAAAAAACAAAACAAATGAAAGTACAAAAAGTATTGACAATGGATTTTAACATTGATGACATTAATTGTTAACATCAACAGTCCAGTCTGGTCAGGAGTTTGTTGTTGTCTCAGATTAAGCTAATTTTGAATGCTACGTTTAAGGGAGGATCTTTTAACTCCTGCTGTAAGAAAGAATTTAGCTGTTAAAAGTGGGAGGAGAGAGGGGCGGGGTTCTTTGCAGACTCGAAGTGGGCGTTTCTACAGCGCAAACACTGATTAGCTAGATCCAGAAGCAGAAATCTTACAAAAACTGACAGAAATCTGTGACCACTTCAAAAAGTTGAACAAGTTATAGAACAAGGACCCTTCATCTCTGGGACAGTCTAACATTATGTTTTACTTCATTATTTGTTGTAACCACTGATGTCAGTTTCACATTATTTCAGTAACCAGATTTTGTTTTGAGGAGAAGCAGGTTTGGATATGTCACTAATGTGGGACCAGCTAACACAATCTGCCTCCTGTTATTATACCTAAGAGCTAAAAAGTCTTCTGATACCCTCGGTTACAACAGCTAGGTCGTGAAACCAAATAAATAAATTAAAGTCTGATGCCAGAGAAGTAAGCTAGCCATATTATGGGGGCAGAAAAAGTCAAACGACTTTAATTTTGTCCAATCAGGTGTGATCCTTGAGAAAACCCTATGATATATACTGCTCAAAAAAATAAAGGGAACATTTCACTTTAATTTTGTGTGTGGCTCCAAATCCAGGCCTCCATTGGTTAATAACTTTTATTTCCATTGATGATTTTTGTGTGATTTTGTTGTCAGCACATTCAACTTTGTACAGAACAAAGTATTCAATGAGAATATTTCATTCATTCAGATCTAGGATGTGTTATTTGAGTGTTCCCTTTATTTTTTTGAGTAGTGTACTTGTCCAATTGTGTTGCACTTCAGTTTGTTCGTCCAGTCAGCTGTGCCTCCTGAGAAATGCCTTCCTTTGGAAATGACTACTTCATCTGTAGACGTACGTACTTGTTAAAAATCTGATCCAGCTTTAGATTTGAATTGTTGCTATGGTGATTTTAGGAGTTTGTGGTGGTGGGTTGTTACAATATTAGCCTACAGAATCTTTATCCTAACAAGTTAATCAAATTCTAGCAATTTCCAACTCTGTCAGCTTGATTCAATGTCAAGCTATTTCAGAAAATGGATTTAGAAACCTCCCTTCCCCCATAAAAAACTCCAAAAGATGTTCAAAGAAAAAGCAGAAAAGGCAATCGGAACAATTTGTTTTTCCAAACTGAACCAGTTTAACAGGGAGGCTACATTTCAAACAGGTTTTCACTTGCATATCAGGAAAAAGCGTTGCGCAACACCAAACATGATATTCTGCTGCCAAACAAAGAGCGATATGATCTTGGTGACTGGTGGTAAAAACATTAGTGTTTAATTAACCGTTATGTGGTAACAGGTGTGTCCGTATCAGGTGGCTTCAAATGGGACTCAGCCAGGCGTAACGCCACCAATCGATATTCCATGTTTTGATACAAACGCACATGAAGTGTTAAGTGTGGTAGTCGCCATAGAGCAAAAGCCAAAGCCAGTGACTCACACATGATACAGTCAAAAGTCCAAAAAAGGAAAGAGCAGTGTGCTGCCACATGTTTGACTCACTCCAGGATCTGTAGTTAGGGGCTGATGGGGGCAAACAGAGCGTTTACTGTGGAGGACTCACACTGCAGTCATCACACCAGGTCTTGCTTAGAGAGCCACCTTGGCTTTCATCTGCCGTGTGGAAACGGCCATGAAGAACATGTCTCCACCACAGTACTGACAGCAAGTATACACTGTACCACTCAAGAAATACTTTTAAAGGCTATGTTTTCAAAAGAAACTTTTCTGATTATACACTATATACCTTTTAGCAACTTAAGCTTCAGGGCAGGCGTTTAAGGAGAGTTGGAAAGCACTTAGGGAGCATAAAAGAAGAGTATAAGCAATGGCATTATAATTCAAATCTTTTAGAAAAAAAAAACTAAAACTGTCAACCTGAACAGTAAAAGACCGTTTAAACCAGTGTTTCTCAACCCTGGTCCTCACCCCCCCTGTCCTGCATGTTTTCGGTGTTTCCCTTCTGCCACACCTGAATTGTATCTCTGGGTGATTAACAGGCTTCTGCAGTACTTGATGGTCATGCAATCATTTGAATCAGCTGTTCTGGAATAGAGGCACATCTAAAACATGCAGAGCAGGGGGGCAGTGAGGACCAGGGTTGAGAAACACTGTTTTAAACCAACAGTACCATAGCTAGCTGTTAGGGTAGTTCTCAAACAGGTTGGTAAACCAATACAGACAGAGTGGTCTGCTGTTGCTGGTGGTCATGTTTTACACTCGTTTTATTCTGGATGTTTAAATTAGTGCACACTTAAATAAAACATACATAGTAATCTATTAAACTGTAGGGGAGGAGCCAGCTGTTATCGTATGGTCTGCTGCTGCAGAGTGAGCGCTCTGCTGAGCTGCATTATCTCCTTCAGAGATGATTTAATGTTGGAAAAAAAACTGTGGTGGAAGTTGGTTAAGTATTTTCCAGGAATATAGTGTAATTCTATGGCACAGTCGAGGAACTGTGTTACCCTCAGTTGTTATAAAAACGGAAAATATAACAAATAGGTCTTAAAAGAAATTTGACTTCATAATGTAAGGCTTTGAAATTGGCCCCCTGTCTCTTTAAAAACTCCAGCTCTTTCTGAAACTTTGCTTTCAGGAAGTCATCACAAGGTGGCTCCTCTATTAACGTTTTTACCAGCGTTGCACTGCGAAGTAGCTGCTATTATGAGCTTAGCGGTTTCTCCAGGTGTTTGCTAATTGCTGCTGGCTAGTGTGAAGGAGCTGAGAGGGGGAGTCAAGGCGGTGGGGTGTTCTGTGAGGCAAAAGCTTGGAAATGGCAGCTCTGAGAAGGAGCTGCTCCTCAAAGGTGGAGCCAAGTTCACCCACGTGTTTTTGCGAAGCTGATTGGCTGCCATGGGAGACTAAGATTTCTCAAACATGCAAAAAAAGGTATGTTTTTGATGAGGGAATTGCATTATAATATGACGTAAAGGTCAAAAAAGTAAATTTTTTCATAATACTACCCCTTTAAAATCTTGCCATGTGTACCAGGCACAACCAAAAAAAAAAAAAAAACCCTGGAAAGGAAGCAGCTCAAACATTGAAGGACAATCTGAAAAAGGAAGTTAATGTCGGAAAAATTTGCTCCTCAGTTCTAACATTTTATTTTGAACACTTATGAGGGTTATTCAGCCAGGAACTGAGCCAGGGCACAAACATTTTTCTGCAGTGAGACTCAAAGCCACCTCAGCGCTGGAGAGTTGCTCACCTTGTGTGTACGCTGCATCATCAGAACCCATGCTGAGTCTGCGCGGCTCGCTTGGCCGCTCTCTGTGCGGTGACAGCGGATCAGACAGATGCAGGGGCTCCGGCTCCACAAAGTGGTGGTCCGGCGGCAGGCTGAGGAGGTTGTTGGGCTCAAAGGTCGGGGACACAACCCCAGGGGACACAGCTGGAGGTTTGTTAGGAGACACAGTGATTTTAAAGGTATATTTGGTGTTGGGTTGAGTCACTACCACGCGAGGCGAAGATGCTGTGCCTCCGCCTCCCACAGAGGGCCGACTCTTAGGCGGATGGTGGTGAATGTAGGCGGGGCCCATGCTCACTTGGCCCCCCATGGTCCTGGCCACCGAGGGCCCCTGGATCTGAGGGTTAGCTGAGATGTAGACTGTAGGAGGGTTTCTGCTGCCGCTGTCGTCGCTGGCAGAAATGTAAAACTTGGGCTGAGGGCGGGACCCCAGCGAGGCCACCATGGCTTCCTCAGAAAGGGCACTAGCAGCAGTGGGTGGGCTGGCTGAGAAGTAAACAGTGGGCTGGTTGCGGCTGGAGCCGGACCCTCCGATGGACTGAGGGGTGCTGGAGACAGTAGAAGAGGAGGAAGAGGATGGGCAGCCAGAGGAGGAAGAGGAGGCAGACCAGGGCCCGCCGCTCGCCCGCAGCACCGTTGTGGCGGTGGTGGAGCTGCTCCGCTGAGGAGATTCAAGTTTGATCTCAATCTGGTTCTTCCGGGGGCCGGTGGAGATATTCTGGATGTTGTACTGGCTGACGGCAGACAGGGAGGAGGGCAGGGCGGAGGAGGAGGAGGACGGGGGGCAGGAGGACACGCTGGAGGATGCCGCCACGCCACCGCTGGGGGGAATGGCAGGTGCCTGCGGGTTGGTGGGGGAACTGATGGGCATGTAGACGTGAGAGGTCCTTGAGGTGTGCGAAGAGGTGTGCTGGGGGGCAGGGCGCGGGCTGGGGGAGGGTGATGGGTGGATCTGGAAGATCTGCTGCTGGGGCTGGGAAGTGGGACTGTACTGGGCACGGCCACTCGGCTGCTGGCTCTGCCGGCCCGAGCCGGACTGGCTGACGTACGGCCGGATGAAGATGGAGTTGCCCTGAGGGCTGCCCAGGCCCTGCTGGGGCACGCTGTGTATGTGCAAAGAGGCAGGGGTGTTGCGGCCTGTTTGAAGGTTTGGGGCAAGCGTCACTGTGATGGGGTTGAAACGGGGGGCCTGGTGTGGCCCCACGCTCGGCCCTTTGGCTCCCAGTGTGTAGAGCCCCAGGTTCTGCGGGGGCTGCACCTTACGCGTGGGCTCCATCACGCTGAAGACGTTGAGGGTGGAGGGGACCTGCACCGGGGCGGACTGTGGCTCGTGCTGGAAAAAGTCACTGCTGGGGGCCTGGCCTGTCTGGAGGGGCCCGTCGCTCATGCTGTGGGCCAGGGTCCGGCTGCCATTCATTCTCAGGCCGTCCCGGTCTGGGGCCACATGCACATTCTGAGACTGCAGGCCCAGGTTCAGCTGGGTCATGTGCTTCAAGTTGGGGTCCTCAGAGAAGCTGGGGCTGCTGGCGTCACTGTAAAGGTAGCCTGGACTGACCTGGGACAAGTATTTACAACAGGCATCCAGATTGTTGTTGCACTGCAGGAAGGAGAGAAGAAGTGAGAAATAAGATGTTAAATAATGGGTTGATTGTAACTGAAGATATTCATTTCCATCTCATCGTTTGTTTCTGGAGGAGGAGAGGAGGTTGGTCATGTGACAATGATAGTGATGCAGCAAAGGATTATGGGGAGTTTAACTGAAGCAGAGAGAAAGTCAGCAGGGTGGATGTTGTTTTCATGTGTCAAAAGAGTGGAGAAATAACCATAATATCAGTGAATATCGGTCATAACAGAAATATTAATATCAGCGCATCTCTAAATAACTGGCATGCTGTTATAGTTCAGGCGTCGTGTATAAAGATTATATGTGAGGTCAGTTTGTGGACCAACAGCCACTGTAACTCTGATGGATGTTTTTAGTTACAGATGCTAGAGTTCATTATGTAGAACTCCTTGAGGATGCGAAGAGGCCACATTCATAGAGTGGGGACATATTGTGATAATGCAGAAAGAAATAGTCATTAAAATATAATTTTTCACAACTCTAAGCAGTAGTATTGCAATTATAAGTATTGGTGGGATATTGTGTAGCTTTATTCAAAATCAAAACTAAACAAAAATCGAGGCACCAAGTGGAGATCAATTCTGATATGAAATCTAAAAAAAAAATATGATTATATCTGTAGCTTTGGCCCGTCCATTTCCCCCGTGGAGTCCATCCTGCCTTCCCTCTACGTGACATTCAGCAGTAAAGATATGTATGGTTTAGTGATGTAATTTACAACTGACCTGAAACACACCACTTGATTTACTGGAATCCACAATGACTGAAAAATAATTCAGCATAATCTGTGTCCTTTTGATATATTGTGCTCTCCGGCCTGTTGGCTCCTATGGCATCAATATGAGCCAACAGGCATACAGACACAAAAACGAGCAGACAGGAACATCAGCTAAAGGCAGAGGTGTAAAAAGTGTGGCCCGGGGGCCATTTTTGGCCCTCAGAATGGTTCTGTGTGACCTACAACCATAACTCACAAATGGTAGAAGTGGTTGATACAGATACGAGATGTTTTGATTTTAAAAATGGGTAAAATTTTCAGACAAATTTAAGTCGAAATGAAACATCTTAGGCACAACGGGGAGTATCTGTCTCATCAAACATATTTCTTGCTTTTTCAGAATCTTTTTACAAAATAAATAAATAAAAAAACTTTGTCTTAAAATGATCAACTTGATCATTTCGAACCATATGATGACAAGATAACTATCACAGTTTAATATTTGGATACTATTATTTTTTCTAAACAACTTTCCAATCAAACATCAGTTTTTACCATCCAATAAATAACTAAGCAAATAAAATTCAATATGTTCAATTAGTATTTTGTGATACATTATTGACTTCAATACATTTTGTAACTTCATTAACTTCCTTTGTGTTTTATTTAATTTTTTTAATTATGTGTAATTTCAAGCCTCTTTACCTCCAAAACACACTGAGAGACGACACCTTCAGGGACTTCAGGGAACTTCTGGCGCAGGTCGTGCAAAACCTGAATGTCAATCTGCTGGTTTCCCTGGGCCATTCGTATGTTGCCAGGTCAGGACCGCTTGTTCAGGTCAGCAGACTGGAACATCAGCTGTGGCAGAATCCCACCCTCATCCTGAACATCTCAACTACAAGACAGAGAGAAGAAAAAAACTCAAATGGTATTTAAACCATATTAAAACAAAAGGAAAAAAAAAAAGAAAAAAATATATACACACACACATGTATGTGTGTATATATATATATATATATATATATATGGCTGCAGTATGTTTACAGTTGTAGTTGAAGAAACCTTTGCATGAACAAACTGCTGAAGAGTTTTTCCATGAGCCTGTCCAAGAGGCCATCCATTTTATTAAGTCTTGGAGTTTATGAGAAGATTTCAGAGAGGCTTGATGAGAAGAGGCTGCATTCATGTCAGAGGGCCTCCTCCCCACAAAGCTCCTTAATAAAGGAGAAGCAGAGGGAGGAAACCACCTCTGACTGACTGTACAGGAAACCAGCCGCTCCAACTCCTCTTAACATCATCATTTACTTATTAAAGAAACTAGGAGGACGAACAGTAGTCTGGTATGGACATATTTTTTTGATTTCAAGTTCAACAATAAAGCTGCTCTGCAAAACAATTGGTTTCCATCAAGGTCAGGGCAGGAAAATCTGAAGCAGGCAGCGCACGATATATGAGTGAGTCGGAAAAGGAGCAAATTCAGCAGAAAACCAGGAATGAGGAGGACCATGCTGCTGTGGCTGTGCAGGCAGGAAAAGGGTGAAATGTGCGACACTAAAGCCTCCTGTCTCCAGAGGAAGCTCAGTGGTGAACCAATCCGTGTGCTGCTGGTCAGCAGCGGCTCAGAAAGCAACACCGTCTGACCAGCGGCAAAGAGAAAGAAGCTGCTTATTCAGCCGGCTCAGGTCAGTCTGCCACAGATGTGTAAAAACAAACAGCATGTACGCCAAATACATGTACGCCATGTACTTACATGGCGTACATGTATTTACATCATATTTCAATCATTTAATCTCTGGGGAGGAATGAGAGCTACAGCCCTAATCACTATATTGATACATTTTCTAGGCCTAAATCCAGAAGCAATAACTAGAAAGGATTTTCAGAGACACAAAGGAAACAATTGTTTAGCGATACACCAGGAGATTGTTGTGGAGAACGATACTGGGCCATTTTCACCTGGACCTGCTCTAAACTGTGACTAGTGAGGAAAAAAATAAATGTTAAAAAATTTGATTGGGGAAAAAACACAACAAAACAATCTGTAAAAATACAATTTCTAATTAGGGATGCACCGATCCACTTTTCTCATTTCCAATACCGATATCTGAGGTTTAATATCGGCTAATACAGAAAAACAGGTAAGCCGATTTAAAATGTTTATTTCTTTTTTTTAAACAGACAGAAATGTACTGAATTACAATTTTTATTTGATAACTGTGCACTAGTACAGCACACATAAATACACCAAAGACTTCACCAACTTGGTCAAACACCTAAAAACAACCATAATTTGTTCAGTTAGTGTAACAAATTACACTGACTGTGTAACTTATTTTCCAAAGTTAATGGAAAATAAATAATAAAGAAACTAACTAAAACAATAGGTTGACTACCTTGGTCAAACATGTAAAAATAAACTGCAACTAGGCCTGTCACAATAAATTGCTGGACGATTGTCTAAAAAATTATTTCGATAAACGATAATATTGTTTCAAGACCTTTTGACACTGATTTAATGAAAATGGCTAATAATGCATGCAATTTCCTGCCATAGATATGTGTTCTTTTGAAAATAAAGTGTATCTAACACTGGAACTGATAAACTGAATCAGTTCCAGTGTTAATGGATTCTCAGTCTCCATTAATAAAAAATGTACTTGAATAAAAACTAAACAACAAAGCCAAAGTGGAAATAAATATTGCATTCAACCAAAAGAGTGCCAATTGTGAAGTCTGTATACTATATTGCCCTTCAGAATCCTTTGCACATTTCGTGCAAAGAATATAGAAATGACAGAGAGCAGTTGGAGCCAAATTGCTACCGCAGTTGATAAACCCGGTAACTTTTCAGCTGTTCTTCATTAACGTGACATAAATAGGT